TAAAGGTAATGAGAATAAAGGAAATGATCATCAATTTTAAGAGCCCCTGATCATCAATCAAATTCTCCTTGTCTGTTCCATAGAGAATACTTAGAGAGTTGTGTATAGAATGTGAATACTTATGTTAACCCTTGAACTCCCAAGATTTCATTAGTAATTCTCCTTACTGTCTGTCATACAGTTCATGTGATGTTAGTTTGGAGAATTTGGAATTGGATCCACCAATAATCCCCTAATTGATATTTTTCTTTATTCTCATTACTTGTCTATTTGATATTGTACTGATAGTGTAAGGAGAAATTCTGTCTTGGTCACTCATGGGACACAAGGGGTTAATTAGGATGTAAAGGGTTAAATTTGGGACCAAAGTTTGACATTTTTTTCTTTTGCTATTCATGGTGTCATGTTTGTCATGTTCACAAAGAACATTTATTGTAAATTCAATGATGATGATTACAAACAAATAATTTATCCCCAATCAAGGGCCAATATTATTAACAACAATCAAAGCATTGACACATGTTATGAGGTACAGTAAATAATCATTAGCTTAGATATGTTACATGATTGCCATGTTCTTTATGCTTCTAAAGTACAGTTATTGTAAATTCAATAACATTAAGTACTAACAAAAGTTAATCCTTCCACAAAGGGCCAACAATACTAACGTTACTTGAAGCATTATTAATATTTCGTGTTAATTGTATAGTGGTTATATCCATAAAAAATGATGATGATGTGCTAAATGATGGCTTTCTTTAACTCATGACTGAAAAACTTGGAGTAGATTTTGGAATTTAAACAAGTACAAGATTCAATGTCTAATATGTTTACTACTTGATGTGGAAGCAATTTTCAATTAAGAGTTGCAAACAATCCTGAACTGTTTTGTTTTGCTTCAAATTCCTCTCTGATTGGCTTGGAAAACTTGCCCTACTCTTGTAAACAATCTCTACTTGATTTCTCTTTCATTTAGTTAGCCAACCGTCACTGGTGGACTGTTGGCTGATTGTCAGCTAATCAGCTAATAGTTGGCCAACAGTCGGGCAGCAGCCACAATTACTCTTGATTGTCAAATAAATTCTCTTAGTCAGCACCTCAGGAATATATGTATATGTATATATATAGTGAGAGAGAGAAAAAAAAAAGAATGGAGAATATGCATGTGCATGTTAAAGGTTAAGTGAAACTTGCTAGTCTTGTCTTAGCTTAAGGTCTGACAAGATATCATTCTTCATTTGAACTGTATACTATATATTTATTTGTATTAATTCATTGAAACTTGGAACAGGCTTTTCCAGAAGAGATTGTCTGAGTTTGTTGAATGGTATGAATGAAATTAAAAATTATTTCAATAACTAAAGCAACAAGACTCGTTCATCTTCACTGAACATCTTTGGAGTGACAGAAGTTTCAGGCCGGAAAGCAGATTACTTACCCTCCCCCTGACAAAACATTTGTCGTTTCCCTTTCTGCCACAAAGGCTTCTGGGATACCGCTTCTTTCGAGTGACGTTAAGGCGAGCAGACCTCATGTTTGGCGTTTTAGTCCACTTTTGAAAGAAAACAAATTTCTTCAAAAGTGTGGGGTCTCCTCACTGATTCTCGTCGACTTCATAACCTTTCCGTTCTTTTTTCCTTTCTTCTGTTATTACCGCCAATTTCCCAGTGGAAGTTAGTGGTAATTTCGAATCAACATATCGTATCCTCTAGCCCGTTACGTGGAAGTCGACGGCCATATTTCCAACTTATTTATTATTCGATCGATAACTTTCCACGAAGAATCACTCTTTTCTCTACGCCTTTTTAATCACTTTCTTTAATATTCCAACTTCACAAGTCTAGCGATTTCATCAATGGCTCAGAAAACGCCGGTGAGCTTGATGAACGAACTTGCCAAAGCCAACAAACTAAACCCCGAATACAAAGTCATCGAGGAAACCGGACCAGCTCACCAACGAACGTTTACTGTACAGCTGACCCTGGGCGACGTGGGAACATGGCAAGGCAAAGCTACAAGTATTCGAAGCGCCAGACATGCAGCAGCCACAGCAGGTTTGGAGAATTGTGGGTTAACAAAGCCAGAGATCGAGAAACCAAACATCCAACAGTTCAACATCACTCCGACAGTGGAACTGAACGTGATGGGGATGAAGCTTGGGAAGCTGATTCAGTACCATGACCTGCAGCCCAAGATACTGTCCTCTTATCAACCAATCAGCATGGGCTATCCTAACCTCCAGATGCAACATCATCACACTGGCGTGCATCACTACATGCCTCGACCCCGTCCCTCTTACAGCATTGCACACCCAAGTCAAGGGAATCACTATCGTCCATATGTCCAAAATGGGTTTCATTCCCGGCCTCCACCACCCCGTGTACCCAGAATCTTTTGTGTCCAACTGATGGTAGGAGACCAGGAATTCTATGGTGAAGGACGTGACAAGCAGAAAGCTCGTCAAAATGCGGCATCTAAAGCAATCAAGATGCTGCGAGAC